GCGAAAATTCTCTTTGTTCATTGGAATTGAGAAATGTCATCGATTCATAAATTTTAATAATATCCAATATTTTTCTAAAAATATCCAAATACTCATAACTTGACTTACTGTACTTGGTGACATGAGCCATTGCATAACGCTACTAAAAATATACTCAAATAGTAAAGAAGTGCCCCAAGACTACATTGTTCTCTCTTCATTCGAAAATTCAAAAAAAACTCGTAATATGGCGCGTGCTGTCGTAGGCACTCCAAATTAAAACCTATACTTCTTAAAATTAATGTAGCAGTGAAAGTAAGGGTCGATACCACGAATAGTGATTAATTTGCTTTTTATACTAAATTAACTAAAATGGGGGGCTCTTGAATTTCTAAAATAACACAACTCACCGAATTAAATATAAGCAATAAAACAAACATTGATTTATGTCAACATCCACAGTTGGAAATTAATAACCAGTCATTGATCCACAAATAATCATCAATTCATAATTGTAGTATTCATTGTGAAAAATAAATTTTCCATTCGAAACAATTTTCCTATTTCTCCGTAGTTTTAATTAATTAGAAACAATCGATCTAATTAATCATCATTATTAAACAATTCTAGACAAGCACGATAATTTAATAATGGCTTTACGAATTAGAGAAATCAATAAACTAAATAACACAAGCCAAGCGTTTGTATTTAATTTAGATAAATCTTCTCCCTAAGATTTAATAATTTCCAACCAGCAAATTATCAATCTTAATTGCTTCATAAGTTAAACCAATCAACAATTACAGTTTTGAAATTCAACTTAGCTATAGATTATTATGAATAATAACCTAGCCTGCACTCTAGGAATCAAACACAACAATCATAAAAATAATTGCAGAACAATATTTAATACTAAGCATATGTATTAATCAATAAAAATCAGGTGGGTCTCACAGTTATAATTGTTTCAAGGCTTTCGTCTCCTTCGATCAAGCAAAAGAAATTAGTTGCACATCATAGATTATGAGCAAAAAGAGAGAAAAATAGGGTTGGGGGCATTCTCTCTGTTTTGACGAGATTTGAGGCTTACATATGGTGTACAAGATTTGTTTCCACAAGTATTTAATTCAAATTAGGAAATTAAAAATCTCATGTCGAAAGTGAACTATGCGACCGTATAGTTATAAGTGTTGCGGTCGCATAGAACAATGATTTACAACCCAAAATTTCTCTGAAGGTTAGAATGACCACATTGGTTTTGAACTATGCGACCGCACATCGTTTTCCCTCCAGATAGTTTTTAGTATTTTGATCATAATGTTCTTTCTCGATGTTCGATTGACGTAATTCAAAGTGTGTTGAGAAACTAACGCAAAAGGCTACAAATTTTCTTCAGATGTCATCTTCCAATTCGATCATTTACCATGTCAAAAATAGGTCCCAATATGATGCTAAAAATTGGTGCATAACATTTTCGATTGGAAATTGATGTGTGATTATACTTTGATTGTATTTCATCCCTTTAACTTCTTTCCTCATCCACTTGATCTCTAATGCTCTTGAATCTTCATTCCATTGTTCCTCTCATCTAGGGATTATTTGCAACTTGGTCCCTAAGCTTTCATCTTCTCTTTTCTTGGCGTCTTTTTATTGTTTTTCTTCTTCCAACACTTTAAGTGTTACATCAATTGATCTTCAAATCTTTTTCTCCATCATTTCACCTTCCTGTTCAACTTTTAGATATTTTCATTTTAGTCCTTGAACTTTCTATTTCTTTCATTTAGGTTCTTTTTCGCTCTTTCCTTCTATTTTATGCTGTGATCATCCAAATGCAACCTAGATCACAATATAAGGGTACTTAGCATATTTAGGTGTTAATTAGTCATAAAAATGCAAGAATTAATGGATGTAAATCACGACATTTCATGTCTTATCATAATACGCAAATCCTCTCCTCATGGTGTCTAACCTAGTGGTCAACGTCATTATCTCTATATTTCGCTTGTCTTGCCATCATCCATAACTACGTCATCGTAGAAGGTGAGTTTAGGGTTTAGGGGCTATCATCTTGAAAATGTTCATTGATCCATGTTTTCAATATATTGGGGATTTTGATTCAAAGTAGTCGTGATGTAGTCATCGGAGGGCTCTAGAATGAAAACATTTTAATGTTACAGGGGAATATTGAAAAATTGCTGTTCACATAACGAAAATGACATAATACTTTCTCTATGACTTGTGCTCTTGTTTCGCATTGTGTTTATAAGGATGACGAAAAGGCCTTCTCACTATAAGAAAATGAATAATATGCTTGATATTCATGCTTATACTTGTAGAGGTTTATTTATTACTAGCCATGGGCGGATCCAGGGACGGGCTGGGCAGTGCTACAGCTCGTCCCTTCAGCTCAAATGTCCATTAAAAAAAAAATTAAATAAAATATATTTTTTTAATGTGCAATATTTTCTTTTTATACGAATTAGTCCGTAATGAATTTTTTTCTGGATCCGCCACTGTTACTAGCATTGGTGATTGTAAACTTAGGCTTTTGATTTTAATCAGATTCATAATCTATAAATAATGATCTGTCATCATTGACAGAGTGTAGGCATGATAATAATTTTTGAAATGGTTTGTCGAAAGTCTCAACTAATGACTTCATTTGGTATAATTAAGTTGGGCCCTTTTCCATTGAATTCTCCAACCAGGGTCCTAAAATGTAATGGTGCATAATCTTAGCTTCGACACATCATAGTTTCACGAAACTAGTACATTTTGCAATACCGAAGGTCAAGCTGCTTTGTGGTATCTTAGTCTTTGAGATCAGATTCGATTTAAAAATTTCGAGATTTTTATGATCAAGACAATTTAAAATTAACATTATTAAAATTCGACCACTAATTTGTATCGATCTCAAATGCAAGAAAGATGGGTACACTGTTAAAAATTCTTTTTGGGTTTGGGATGTCAACGCGGCACACTGGATTTGCCCCTAGTTAAAAGGTTATTGTTAATAGGGACTAAGTCCCTGTTTGATTTCCATTTTTTGAAAAAAATACATTTTTAAATAGTATTTTTACATAATTTTAACTATACGTTTTTCAATAAAATAATATTATACGCAATTCCAAAATTTCTTTCTTATTTTTTAACCACGCGTTTTTCATCAATACATTATTCAAAAATTCATTTTTATAAAAAGAATGGGGCTTAAACAAGGGTTTAATTTGAAACAGTATTTACAAAAATTCACTTAAGTTTGGAATTTTTGAAAAATCATGAGAAACATGGGCTAAACTATAAATGCTATAGTTTCATCTAATTTCACCAATTATTTACGTCAAACCTAAAGAAAAGAACAAACAAAGGCAATTATCAGCTCCAAATCGAAATCCTCCAAGCTCAAATTTTTGCAAAATCGAAATCGTAAGAGGAAATATTAGACAAATCAAGACTAAAACAAGATCAAGGGTTAATTCAATTAATTTTCTTCAAAGTTTTCTTCCCCAAATATACAAATAATCAACCCAAATCTAAAGATTTGTATGTTTTGGACTTTTGATTAACTTAGTTCACATTTTGTTTGATTTTAATGTTGTTGAGGTTTTTTTTCTAGTACATATGAAATTTTATTTTAAGATTAATAATTTTGAGTTGGTATATACTGAAATTTAGATTTGTATGTATTTGACTGAGTTAATATATATGATAAACCAATTTTGGATCAAATCAAGTGATGCATACAAGGTATTAGTGAAAATGAGGAAAAGTGACATTCTCTATCACTTTTTATTTATTTTTTCAAAAATATTGTAGCCTATCTGATTTGAACTCTTTTGGATCAATTAAGTATATGCATACGTAAGTGTTTGTGAAGATTTAAATAAAATGAATATGAATTCAAACCCTACTTTTTATTAAAAGGTGACATGGTGTAACAATTTCTCTGTATTTAGATATGAATTAAGTTGGTAAAACTTGATAGCAACGTTCTCTGTCAATCCCTTTTTTCTTTAAAAAAAAAAAAAAAAATCATCATCGCAGTCTAACTCATTTGAATTTGTTGGATCAATTAAACAGATGCATACATGTGAGTTTGTAAAAATTTAAATATGAATATGAATTCAAACCTTACTTTAAATTAAAAAGTAATATATTGTAGCATTTTATTTGTCTTTTGCCTATTAGTTAATGTGCTAAAATTTTAAAGTGTTATACTCTGTCACCTTGTTAAAAAAGAGTCTCACACTATTTTATTTGTTCTAGTTTTGTAGATATCGACAAAATTAAAATCTTCACATGTTAAGGAGACAAAGAAGAATAAGATAACGAATATAAAAGTGACAAAATGATTGAAATTATTGTCTTAATAGAATGCACATGCAACAACTTTTGTTAAAACGCATATGCCATGTCATTTTTTTAACTGTTAAAAAGAGACCAAATTGTCATTGTTGTCATTGATATGCAATTCAATCAACAAAATAACCGGTGTATTCTTATATTTACACATAAGCTAAATTAGGCAACAATTTTATGAAGTTTAAAGTCTATGTAACTTTTTTTGAAGGAGTTAAGGTATATAGTGACATCATATTTCTTTAAGTCAATATTCTTGTGATATAATTAACTCACAATCCCCAAAAAAGAATAAAAAGAAAGACTATTACACGAAAAATGACAACAATTAAAAAGTGACAAAACTCAAAAAAGTGATAATCAATTTGTGGGTTTCTTTTGGGTTTTCCGAGTTTTGGGCATAATTTATACTGGGAATTTTAGTTCTAATTAGTATTAAGGGTATTAATTTAATATCTTATTTTTGTGGGGTAGTGTGCCTATTCTCATTTTTCAATTTTGTAATGCTGCACTGTTAGCTTTCGATGCGGGTTAATTTGAAATTTTGTTAGGCTGCATGATAGGAAGGGTCGTCTAGATCTCTTGTCAAGTCAACTCAACCCAACTCACTCAATATCCAAAACCGAACACAAAGTGGCAAAAAAAAAATCATGAAAATCTAGTTCAACTTTATGAGTAGCAATTCCTTATTTTCTCAATCAGAATGGCTACATATTAATAACTAGATCGCTATTGATATGTAGAAAATGGAATTCAGGGCAAAGTTAGCGTAGTCGCTCATAAGTACATACCTATCCAGATAAAGGATAGTGACAATGTTTAACAACATACACGATATTGGAATTACATATTTGCCAAGAAATTACTTGCACAATATAAATACATGATTCATTCACCTATACAGGAGTAATCAAAGGTTTATTTGAGAAGAAAGCCTCTAAATTTGCCACCAAAACATTGAAAGCTTCAAAAAATGCCTGCTGAGTGAAGGCAGCACGATGTGGCGTAATGACAACGTTATCCAATCCAAACAACTCTTTAGGTACAGTAGGCTCATTCTCAAACACATCCAAACCAGCACCCGCAATTTCACCTTCCACCAAGAATTTCACGAGTTCCGACTCATCGATGATCGGTCCTCGACCGACATTGACTATGATCCCATCCTTCCCTAGTGCAGTCATAACATCCTTGTTAATCAGGTGACGAGTTTGTTCTGTTAAGGAACAACAAATGAATAGGATGTTGCTGTTCAATGCAAGTTCACAAACATTGGGATAGAAACTATAGGGAACTGATGACTTCTTGGTTCTTGAGTTGTATGAAATTATGCATCCAAAGGCCTCAAGCCTTCTTGCAACCTTTGAGCCAATGTTGCCTAGCCCAACAATTCCGACTTGTTTGCCTCCCAACTGAACAAAATACAGAAAGAAAATTAGGTCAATGTGGCGAAGAGAAAATCCAATCATGTTACCTAATGAGCTATAATTTTAATTTTAAACTTCCACTTATTAATCAATATGAACTTACATTATTATTGGGTAAGCTACGTGATTCAGGTGCATGGAGAACTGGTTTTTGTCCTCCGAATTGTGTTAGTCATGGCAATATTTAGGCTGCCCAACGACGTTAATCATCATTACTCCCACTGAGACTACAAGGTAATCTCCAAACACAAAGCAGCAAAGAACAAATAGAATTCGCTAGGAAAGTTGTCTAATAGGGATAGGTCGGTATATTATTTCCTATGATGAGTTTTTATGTTTAATTAACAATTGTTTTATGGGCTATCTAATCAAGTAGGTCCAGTTTATGGTTCCCCAAAAGTTAATCTTTCACGATTGTACATCTCCTCATTCTTATTTGTGAGAAAGTAAGCAGTGAGTACCGTGATTAGACTGTGGAAGATCTCAAACCCCATTGATTCATCATTATGGATTCAAGTATTTTTTCTCTTCTATAGAATTCTTGATAATGACACTGGACCCTCTGGCATGTACGATAGATTGAACATAGAATTTTAACAGTCTATTTAAAATTAAAATCCAATAGGATGTTCTTTCATTTTTTTCTTGATTTTCAGCAGCCAGGCAGGCTTGAAAGCAAATTATTTGCTAAAAATTTGCATCAAGGTATGATATCTTAGTTTGCAACCTGTAAAAGACTACATGCTCACAATGTTTATGCCTTTATACAAGGTATTAATATTATTTCATTGATAACATAATATGCCAATGAGAGAGACGTGCTAGTTATCATGTTTAATTTACTGCATTAAACATATCTCCCAAGTCCTTATAACCTTTTCAAATGAATCGAAGAAGTTAATTTCCTACAACATTTTTCTCTAACATTATGCAAGATTGGATATATCATGGTATTTTACTTTAATCTGGTGCTATTTTTCAGTCAATGGTTACGAAATATAGATTTACAAGGTGGAAATGGTTATTTGCAATTATTTTCTTCATTAATAGACAAACATGAAGCATAAAAGTATTAGTACATAACAGCAGTAAGGCCTGCCTAATTTTCTTGTAACATTAACAATAGTATCAAATTAGCCTTTGTTCGTGTTAGTTTGATTCCCTTTTCGGGTAGTATTTTGTAAAATGACATTATGAATTGACGTTCGGTTATTCACGTTTTAAATTTGAAACAATTATCTAAGGTTCCATGATTATATAGGATGTCACAAATTGTATACCCAATAGTTCAATTATAGTAAGATTCAATTCATGATGTGATAAAAAATATATCGTTTACAATTAGTACATAAAGTTGGACTCTTTATGTTGATAAGATTGCATTGTTCTTCTTAAAATTTGTCTAGATTTTGGAATAAGAACAATAACGTGTTAAAGATGCACTTTGAATGGGATTGTGTAGATGACTAATTTCGCTTGAATTGAAATTATACTCTATTATCAAACAAGTTACTTAAATTCTGAGCGAGAAATGTACTTTTGATTGCTAGTTCAAGTTCTTTGAGACACCAGTTAGTGAAGTTTAAATTAGAAAATTGAAATCGGTGTTTTAGGAATCGGACTGAAACAATTAGATATCATATACTTGCGACAGTGGAATTCATTAATCATCGAGATGAAACGATCATCACTCTAAGGGAAGGCAAATTGAACTTGAGCTCAGTAGTCTGATGATGAGATCGTTGAACTTTATATTGTGATTTGATCATAACGAATTCGCTTTATGAAAATGGAACTTAGAGGGTAATACATGTTGAAGGGAAAAATGGTCATTTTGTTGTTTTCAACATATCAACGGCCAAATAGGAGTTGACTTGTGGAACGATAATCGAAGGATATTGTTATTAGATCATAATTTGCTGTTATGATTGTCACTCAACTTAAGAATGCAATCTCGATTTTTAGGTAGAATGAGTCGGAATTAAGATATGTATCTCAATTGGTCAAGAGTCGACCAATTAGAAACATCTATTGGAGCTTGAGTCATGTGAGTCTAGTTAGGTCCCTCTCTTGGCTCCAATAAAAGTGTGACTTAATTAGTCTTCTACAATAAAATTCAAGAAAATTTGTGCCAAATACAAACAATTATTATGCCACATTGATTAGTAAATATAATTTTTTAACCTCTAATTAATTTAAAGTGATGAAAAAGATATCCAATACTAATGTATATGATTTTAGTGTACGGAGTGTTTCATTTAATCTACATGACATGTTATAATTGTACATTCATTTATCATCCATAAAGCGATAAAAGCAATAATTAAATGAATTATAATCACTTATGGCACATCTTAAGAATTTAAATTACAACATAGATTAAAGTATTCAATTGGACCACATTCCAGTGGGAGAGGGTTTATAAGCATGTATAAACCTGCGGCCTGTTGCATTATCCAATTTGTTATTAAAATACGTATGTTTAGTATCGAATTACATTGGTCTCCCAATAGAATGACTACGTTATTATAGATTAACTAAAACTGGATCTCATAATAGAATTTTTTAAAACGGAATAATAGGATGATTATCTTATAGATGACATCTTATATACTTTGGATATTTTAAAAATTATTGGCGGAGATTATTATACTTATATATGAAATTTTGGATAATTTCTTGTAAAAGGTTCCAACAAAATTATTCATAGGCCAAATAATAATCAATCCTTATCTTTATTGTGGCATGAGATACCCAACTCAATAAAATGAGTGGAAGGGTCCCAACCTTGTCGACAACTATATTGACCTACTATAGGGAACATGTTAAAAGTTGTAAGGACTTAAGGTCTTTGGTTGAAAATATAGTTTTGAGTTTATATTTGCATACTCGTATACATGTATCATACAAATATTATTGTTCATTTTATTAATACGCAAATAGTTAATTTTATAGAAAAATGTCGCTTAAACTATTATCGATGATACTTGACAAAAACCAACTTGTGGAAGAAAACTACGTTGACTGAAAAAAGAATCTTAATATTGTTCTATCGTTGAAAAACACAAATGTGTGCTGACTGAAGATTGTCCCAAAGCTCCTAAAGATTATTCCATGAAATATCAAAAGGCTACATATGAAAAGTAATATCATTTTGATGCGATGGCATGTTGCAATATTTTGACATCCACGTCAAATGTATCGCAATGGAAGCATCAGAACATGGAAACTGCTTTTGACATAATGGAAAGTTTTTAAGAAATGCTTGGACATCAAAGCCAAGAAACTAGTCAAGCCACCATTAGAGCAATTATGAACACGTGCATAAAATCAGACACATCCGTGAAGGACCATATGTTAATCATGATTTGGTCACTTCAATGCTATGGAGGTTTTAGGAGCTCGTACTGATTTTGGGACGCAGATTGACATAGTTCTTGAGACTTTCCCTGAGATGTTCTCACAATTTATAGTTGATTTTGATCTAAAAGTCAGAAGTAGAAGTGCTTTGACTGCAACAGTCAAACCCTCTCATCCTAAGCTTTCTGGTGGCAAAGGAGGAAAAAAGTTGACGACACCAAGCAAAACCAAGATAGCAAGTCAAAAGGAAATAAAACTATTGCCGATGGGAAACTAAAGGGAAAGTGCATTTTTGTGGATAAAAGTGTCATTAGAATAAGAATTGCCCAGATCACCTAGCTAAGGTAAAGGCAGTAGTCATTCTAAGTGATCGATTCTACTAATACCTGGATTGTAGATTCTGGAGCTACTAATCATATTTACAATTCTTTGCCGAGGTTCCAAGAAATTAAGCACTTCAGTGAAGGGGAGTACACTCTTAAAGTAGGTACATGAGGAGAAGTGACTGCTAAAGCTATTGGCACTTTTACTTTATATTTTGAAAATCGTATATATTTGATCTTGGATGACTATTATTATGTTCCAGAACCTACATGGAACTTGGTTTCCGTTGCACTTTTATATCGTGTTGGTTATTCGGTACTTTCTACCCATTTCACGGTGATTATTAAGTTGAATAATTAAGTTATATGTTTGGGCCATATGGTTAATAGTTTTTATGTCTTAATTTCTATGAATGGCTTTATATGTAATACTACTACTGCTAAGAAAAGAAAGAAGTCGTCTAGTACTAATAAAACTCTTTTATGGCATATTAAGATGGATTATATTAATTTAAATAGAATTCAAAGATTGGTAAAGAATGAACTTTTAAATAAGTTAGAGGTGGAATCCATACTAGTGAATCTTGTATAGAAGGAAAGATGACCAACAAGCCCTTTAAGGCTAATGGACTAAGAGCTAAAGAAGTTTTGAAACTGGTACATTCCGATGTTTATAGACCCATTAGTATTCAGGCTAGGGGAGGATATGAGTACTTCACACCTTCACCGATGATTACTCTAAATTTGGATACACATACTTTATGTTTCACAAATCCGAAGCTTTGGAGAAATTCAAAGAGTTTCGGACGATGGTTAAGAAACAAATGGGTAAGAGTATCAAGGACCTTCGATCTAATCGAAGTGGTGAATATCTATCCCAAGAATTTAAGGTCTACTAACCGGATAATGGGATATTATCCCAACTGAGTGCACCAAGAGTCCCCACCAGAATGGTGTTTTGAAAAGAAGAAATCGAACTCTTTTAGAAATGGTAAGATCAACGACGAGGTATTACTTGTTGTCTATTTCCTTTTGGGAATATGCACTACGAACAACCATTTATATTTTGAATTTAGTACCATTTAAGTCAGTCCCCAGGATGCCTCTTAAATTGTGGAATGGGCGTAAGCCTAATTTGCAACACATTCGGATAAGGGGTGTCCGGCACATGTGCTAAAGGGAAAGACGGATAAGATGGAATCAAGATTAGATGTTTATTTCTTTGTAGGACATCCAAAAGGAATAAGAGGTTACTACATCAGTGGTCCATTAGATAAAAAGATATTTGTTAATACAAATGCAACCTTCTTAGACGACAAGTATATAAAAGAACAAAGGTCTATAAGTAAGATTCCATTGGAAAAGGTATTAGAACATGATTCAAACAATCCGGTTCCAGATTTTCGCATAGAATCAAATAGTGATAACTCGGAACCTCCTACAGAACCGATGGTTGCTGATGAGGTAAGTGAGCAAGTGATGCCCATAAAGCTTCGTGAAGAAACAAAACTAGAGGTAGTAGAGAACAAGACACTCATTGTTGTACTTCCATATGCCCCTCACAATGAGGATAATGAGGAATTCGATCCTAACCAAGGACAGGACCAAGCAGTAGGAGGAGAGAAAGTACCTTTGGTCAGATTGGGCAATCAGGCACCTTCAATCATCACTCATAATGGAAGGATTGTGAGACCATTTTTTAGGTACTTGCTCTACGCATAGTCCTTTCAGGTGATCTCTACAAAACAAGAAGAAGATCTCACTTCGTTTAAGGAAACAATGGAGGATGTAGACTTTGAATCATGAAAATCTGTCATGAACTTAGAGATGGAATCTATGTATTTCAACAAAATTTGGGATCTTATAGATGCATCTAATGGGGTCAAACCTATAGAATGTAAGTGGGTCTATAAAAGGAAAAGAAGTGTAGATGGGAAGGTTGAAACATTCAAAGCAAGGATAGTGGACAAGGGTTTTACCCAAAGAAAAGGTAATGACTATGAAGAAACCTTCTCACCAATTGCTATGCTTTAATCTATTCAAATCCTTTTATCTATTGCTACTTACTAAGATGATGAGATTTGGCAAATGGACGTCAAGATAACATTTTTAAATGGACGTTTTGACTAGACCATCTATATGATGTAACTTGAAGGGTTCGTGAAAGAAGGCCATGAAAGGGAAGTTCGCAAGTTAAAGTGAGGTCCATTTATGGACTGAAGCAAGCGTCCAGGACTTGGAATGTACGATTTGATCAAGCCATTAAGACCTATGGTTTTGACCAAAATCTGGATGAAAAATCTAAGTAACAAGCGTATGTAAGGGAAGCAAGTACTTATTCTAAATCTTTATGTAAATGACATTATACTCATTGAAAATGATATTGGGACATTGTAGTCTATAAAAAAATAGTTCTCATGGCAGTTTGATATGAAGGATTTAGGAGAAACTAGTTACATTTTGTGAATCTGTATCTTACGAAATAAGAAAAACAGAAGGATAGCGTTATCCCAAACTTCATACATTGACAAAATATTATCTAAATTCACAAAGCAAATCCTCATGTATGTTATGCTTTGCATTATACCCGATATTTGATATGCTATGGGTATTGTTAGTCGTTATCAATCCAATCTAGGTCCAGAACATTGGGTAGTGGTGAAGCATATACTCAAGTACCTTCGAAGAACGAGAGATTATATGCTTGTTTATTCAGGACATGATCTGAATTCCATTGGATTTACTAATTCCGATTTTCAATCCGTTTGTAACTCTAGGAAGTCTACTAGGTTCAGTATTTACATTGGGAGATGAAGCTATGGTATGGAAGAATATCAAGCAATCTCGTACTGCTGATTCCACAATGGAGGCAGAATATGTAGCCGCTTGTGAAGCTACTAAAGAAGCTGTATGGTTTAAGAAGTTTCTTTGGGACCTTGACGTGGTACCTTTGACAATGGAAACCATAACATTTTATTGCGATAATAATGGAGCGGTTGCAAATGCTAAAGAACTAAGGAGTCATTATCATAGCAAGCACATCGAGATGAAATATCACCTTATTAGATAAATTGTTCATCGAGGAGACGTGATGGTTAGCAAGATTGCATCAACGGATAATCTTGCGGATCTGTTCACCAAGATCATACCAACTAAGGCTTTTGATGGGTATTCTTGATATGTCACATATACTCTAAAAGGACAAGTGGGGGATTATTAGTCTGATGACCTTTTCGAGTAGTATTTTGTAAAATGACATTATGAATTGACGTTCGATTATTTGCATGTTACAATTTGAAACGATTATCTAAGGTTCCATGATCATATAGAATGTCACAAATTGTATACTTAACGGTCCGGGTGTTGTAAGATACAATTTGTGATGTGATTAAAATGTCGTTCACAATCAGTACATAAAGTTGGACGCTTTATGTTGATAAAATTGTATTGTTTTTATTAAGATTTGTTTAGATTTTAGAATAAGAACAATAATGTGTTTTTGAAGTACATTGAACGAGACCGCGTAGATGACTCATTTATGACTGCTCGAAATGAGACTCTACTCAATTATCAAACAGGTAACCTAAATCATGAGCGGGTAATGTACCTTTGATTGTTAGTTCAAGTTCTTTGAGGCACCAGTAAGTGAAGTCTTAAATAGAATATTGATCTTGGTGTTTTGAGAATCAGGTCAAAACAATTAGAGATTATATACTTGCGAAAATGGAATCTATTAATCATCAAGATGAGACATTCGTCACTCTAAGGGTAATTCTATAGGCAAATTAAACTTGAGCTCAGTAATCCAATGATGAAATCATTGAAATTTATATTTTGATCACAACGAATTTGCTTTATAAAAATGAAACTTAGAGGATAATGCAAGTTGAAGGGCAAAACGGTCATTTTGTCGTTTTCAACATAATGACAGTCAAATGAGGGTTGACTTGTGTAACGATAGTGGGCGGATATTGTTATCGGATCATAATTTTCTCCTATAACTATCATTCAACTCGAGAGTATAATTTCGATTTTTTGGTAGAATGAGCCGAGAATAGTAGATGTATCTCAATTGGTCAACAGTTGACCCAATTAGGAAAATGTATTGGAGCTCGAGTTATGTGAGTTCGGTTGGGTCCCTCTCTTGGCTCCAATAAAGATGTGTTACTTAATTTGTCTACAACAATAAAGTCCTAAGGAAATTTGTACAATTTTCAAACCCTTATTGAATATTATAAATATGCCCGTTTATGAGCATATTTTCATATGGTTTTAGGGCTAGCCACATTACATTTCCCAAAAGAGGGAGGCGCCTAAAGGAGCATAAGGGAGGAAGCAATTGACTAGACAATTAAAAGTTCCTTCAAGGTTATCATCTCCCCTTTATGTGTAAGGATTTAAAAATATTCAATGATCTCAAGGTGATCTAAAATCGTTTATTCATATGGATTTAATCATCAAAGGAAAATTAATTTCCTATTGTGGTGATTAAATCTAATAACCAACATTTTGAGCCCAATTTAGGGAAAAATATGTATTAATGTATAGTATTTTTTTGGAAAAGTGTGGTTAAAAAGTAAGATAAAGTTTTCGAATTACGTGTAGTTTTTTTTTTTTTTTTTTTGGAAAATGTGAGGTTGAAAATGAGTTTTGAAATATTGAGGCTCAAATGGGGGTTAAATACCCTTTTGAGGACTCTTGTTGTAAATGGAACAGAATGTGAAGACTGGATTTGCGAAGCCACCTAGTAGGAAGCATGAGACAATTTGGATGTCGATTTTGAAAAAAGGAACGGATTATAATGATCCTATTGAGACATTCTGCCAAGTTAAAAATCAACTAGTTGACACCCAGTAGAAAATATAAGACAAGCTAGTTGTTGATTCTAAGAAGGGAATAGATCATGTAATCATTTAAACAGTTTTCTTGCAAGCCCAATTTTAAGGATAGTTCTACACAAATGTGTGAATGGTTGTTGCAATTGAATAGATCCAACAAGCTCGAATTAACATAACACGAAACTTATTAGTCCAAAAGCACCATAGTAAGTAACAAAAGTTAACACAATATGAGACCTATTAGTCCAAAAGCACTATGGAGAGCAACAGATGTCCACAGTGCTTATTATATGGATGGATATGGATTACCTTCACACCAAGGGAAAAATCACCATGGACAGGCCAAGCTCCTCGGCGCACATGCCGATCACCGGCACTAATTTTCCTAAGCACATCAATCAGCAACCCAACAGCATAATCCGCCGTGTCCTCGGAGAAAACATCACCAGTATTCACCACAGAGATTCCCAGGCGCCGGCACTCAGGAAGGTCTATCTGATTAACTCCAGTGCCAGCCGTCATCACTAACTGGAGTGACGGGAGTAGACGGAGCATCTGGGCTGTTACCGGGCTCTTCCCGTAGCACAGCAATGCCCTGACCGACTGCCCATGGGTTTGTAAGTAAATTTCTGTGGGTAGTGGAGATTCATATGGTTTCAGAATGTGGAATTTGGTCGAGAATTCTCTTTCGTATACTTTGAAAAGAATTGGAGGGCCTAAGACTAATAGCTCTGGAAGTTTTACGATGTCCATGGCCTATTCTGTAGAATCTGGTGAGCCTGTGCACTGCCGACAAGTTTTTGATAAATTTATAAAAATTAGTATTCATTTATCCATGTACCGATAAAGCCTTTACAGAATATTCATAGATAAGCAGCAGGTGTGAGATGGGACAGGGGTGATTTTTTTGACAATAAAATATTTATGTGAGACCCACAATTTGAGACTTTTCTGTACACCAACATTAACGGCCGGTCTGGTGCAGCTTAAAAGCAAAATTATACTCGTTGGAAGGAAAAAAGTGACCGTTGGAAGCTGCAATCTTTGACCAATTGTGAGAGATGTGGGACCCATTGTGGAAAAAAAAAGGCACAAAAATAACTTTTCATCTGCCAAAAAATTTCTAAAGAGACAGTAGCATGTTTGAGAGTGATTTTGAGAATTGATTTTTTGACGGTTAGGAGAAAAGTGAGGTCCATTTGTGAGAGAAGAATTCAAATATGACGATTGGAATAATAAAATAACAGTCAAAAAATTAATTTTTTAGGGGCAAAAAATCACTTCCAAACAAACTGTAAATCTTTATCCCATACTCATTTTATTCATTTCTAAATAAATGTTTGATTCCATTTTTTAGAAAATATATTTTTCTCTATTTTTTCCAACCACACATTGTTCAATAAAATAAGAAAGAAGAATTTCAGATACTCACATGAGGTGAGTAAAATAATCCAAAAAATAACTTACCCACCCCATATTGTGTGTATTCTGTAAGGTATTTATAAAAAATTGTTTTGTACGTGTAATAGAACTCATAAAATAATACTACGCACAAAGTTAAACTTTTTTTTCCTTATTTTTAATCAAACATTCTCCAATAATTTACTATTCAAGATTATATTCTTAGCATTTAATGGGGCCCAAAAAAGCTCGTTTATAAAGTTAATTTATTTCACAATTGTGTTAAAGGCATACAAGTAGAAGTTGTCGACTTGTCGTTAATTTTACTAACAGGGTGACCATATTGGAACCATTTAAACTTCATTTTCTGATTAGGAATAAAATAAACTTTAAGGACCAAATTAAAATCTCACTACAACTTGACGGACCAAATGTCTATTTCAACGATTTGTTAGCCGCTCATTCTGACATTTACGACCTTTATGAAGTTTGGAGTGGAAAGTGCAAAAGTATCACTTTAGCATCTTCTATCCTTTAAAAAGCACTTTTTACTGTTAATTTTTAAAGACGTGAACAGAAAGAGTGAAAATAATTCTATGACTGATTGATAAAGCAAAGACAGCACGAGAAATGACATTTCACAACTATACAACAACCAAACATCACAATAATACAAATGTTATAAAAAGAGAAAAAAGTGAAGATAATATAAGTCAAAATTTTAGTGTGTATTATTAAGAATCAATACTCTATATTTATAGGAATCAAAATAAAAGTTACAATTGAAATGAATTAGATTTTATAGTCTAGATAAAATTTATTTATGTATCATGATAATACTAAATAATCATCCCATTATTTTACAATACTCCTCCTTTGATGATTATTTCTATAACAACTATTTTATTGATATCTTGTTTGGCAAATAATTCGATAAGACAAAAATGCCAACAAATGAAAAAATAGTACAAATGATTTGGAGTAGTAAATGTTGCTTTGTTAAAACCTTATAAAGAAATCTAATGAAAAAACTTGATCGAAAGAAAAAGGGTACAACTACTTTCTTGATTTCAATTCTTGTATCAAGCTATCCATATCTCGCACATCAATATTTTCAATATTACAATTTTTAGTAAGTACGTCTCATATTGTCTTGCATAGTCTTTAGATAATGCCCTTTTCATACGAAATATTTATCAACATTTAATGAATTTTGTAACATGATAATTCGAAAAATAGCTTTTGTTGATATTTTCGAGAGTCTCGTACATATAAGAGTACCTTTTGAGGATAAATGCGTTGTAGGATAAGGACACTATTGCACAAAGAATATGCCTGATTAAAAACTTATTAAGAAAAATCCTAGGTGAAAATTTTTAATGAAAGAAAAAGAGTACATTATTCTTTTGATCACGCTATAAAAATTGTCTCATTAAAAAGCTTATCGGAAAATCCAATGGAACAAAACCTCAATCAAGGGACAAAGAGTATAACTCGTACTTATTCTCCATCATGATAATATCATTTGAATTATGCTTCAAGCATATTAAATTTTTCAAGAATAGTATTAAATTTATATGTAAGATAAATTAACAATAATCACATTTATTATATGCATATAAAATTTCATGAATTGTCATTTTAATAATGTAGAGACTGTGATTACATCTATCACATGATAACTTATCTATTTATATAAGTCTTTGCGATATTTATTATGTAAAGAATTGTTCATTTCATATTACGATTTTACTTTTCCATTTTCATTTCGCATAATAGTACACATTTTGATGTTCGGACTGTATATCCAGAAACTTCAAGTTTATCTATTAAATTCAATATAAGATTGTTCTTTTTATTTGGCCAATCATTACTTTGATCGATATATTTTAATATTTATTTTGATTCCTCGCTATATGATACAATACATCACGTGTAAAATTGTTGTTGATAATCTTTTTTTCGATTCTATATCTTTTTACATATCTCAAGTTTCATTATTTTAGGTAACTAAACTTTTTCTGAAGTTTTATAATTTATTATGTCTAAATACTCATCAAAAGTATGTACCTCTTCAATGAGATCATCTTTGGTAATTGCTCCATTTTCATTTGGAGATTTTTTGTATTAGAATCGAATACATTTACACTTTATGCGCGCCATATATATATCAAATATAATGCTATCAAATTGTCATCCTAGGACATCAATCAGTGTTGAGAGCATTTTAAATTGGTGTGTGAGATCTTGTTAATCTTTTTGTCAGTAAATACATCTAAATAAATTATCTTTCAAACTTTTGGCTCGAGCTATATTTTACGAGAATTTAGATAATGAAGCATTTGTACATGGTGCAGTGGTTGCGGCTGCTTGCATTCACCTCCCAGAGGCGACAGAAGTGGCGACCTCTTTTGAGGTCGTTGCCGTCGGTGCCATCGCAGGAGAAAGGTGGTGAAGCTTGATATATGGTGGATCTGCTAGGGTTTGTGAAATTAGGTTAATTTTGAATTTTGAGCTTTCCCTTGAGACTTCGACTAATCTTGTTGGATAAAGGCTTTTTGTTTTAAGGATTGAGACTAAAAATTAAATTGACCCAATTTTCGGACATTGCATGGGTTGGACTACAAGGAGATTGAAGAATAGGACAAAAATGTGGCCCAATTGAACGCTTTAATCTATGTTGTAATTTAAATTCTTAAGATGGACCATAAGCGATTACAATTCATTTAATTATTATTTTTATCATTTTCTGGATGATGAATAAATATATGATTATTACATGTCATATAGATTAAATAAAATATCACTCGGTGTACTAAAATCATATACATTAGTATATGATATTTTTTCATCACTCTAAATTAATTAGATGTGGTTAAAAAAAATTGTGCCATTATAATTGCTCTTATTTGGCACATTAATTATTAAATGAAAATTCAATGGTTCAAAATAATAAGTGGGAAAGGGTTTATAAGCATGTATAAACATGCAGCCTCCCCTGTTATCCAATTTGTTATTAAAATACGTATATTTAATATTAAATTACATCGGTCTCCCTATAAGAAGACTATATTATTTTATATTAACTAAAATTGGACCTCATAATGAAATGTTTTTAAAATGGAATAATGAGATGATTATTCTATGGATGACATCTTATATATTTTAGATGTTTTAAAAATTATTGGCGGAGGTTATTATAATTATATATGAATTTTTTGGAGGACTTCCTATAACAAGTTACAACAAAATTATTCATAGGTCAAATGATAATCAAACCTCATTTTTATTGTGACATGAGATGCCTAGCTTAATAAAATGAGTGAGAGGGTCTCAACCTTATTGGCAATTACATTGACCTCCTATAAAGGGCGTATTAAAAGTTGTAAGGTTTAAGGTCTTTAGTTGAAAATATAATTTTGGGTCTACATTTGCATACTCATATACATGCATCATACAAAGATTATTGTTCATTTTATTACAGGGGAATCGTTAATTTTACAGCAAAATGTCGCTTAATCCGTTATCAATGATGCTTAACAAAACCAACTTGTGGAAGAAAACTACATTGACTAGAAAAGGAATCTTAACATTGTTCTTATTGCTGAAAACAAAAATTTGTGCTGACAGAAGATTGTCTCAGAGCCCCTAAAGATAATTCCACGAAATCTCGAAAAGCTGCATATGAAAAGTGGTGTCATTTTGATGAGATGGCCCGTTGCTACATTTTGGTATTCATGCCAAATGTCTAACAACGAAACATCAGAACATGGAAACTGCTTTTGACATAATGAAAAGTCTTCAAGAGATGTTTGAACATTAAAGCCGACAAGCTAGGCAATCCTTTATTAGGGTAATTAGGAACACGCGCATGCAACTAGACACATCTGTGAGGGACCATATGTGAACCATGATTGGTCATTTCAATGCCGCGGAGGTTTAAGATCTGATATTGATTATGAGGCGTAGATTGATATGGTTATTAAGATTCTCATTGAGATGTTCTCACAATTTATAGTTGATTATAATTTACACAAGATGGACATGTCTCTAATGAAATTAATAAAGAGCTCCAAAATGCTGAAATTGTTCTGAAATCAAAAAGTGGAGTGCTTTGATTGTAATTATCGGACCCTTTAATTCAAGGCCTTCTGGTGTCAAAAGAGGAAAGAAGAGGAAGAGACTGAACAAAAAGCAATAGCAAGTCAAAAGGGAAAAAAACTACTGCTGATGGGGAACCAAAGGGAAAGTGTTTTTCTTGTGGGCAAAAGGTCATTGGAAGAGGAATTGTCCATGTCATCTTGCTAAGGAGCAGCAAGTAAAGGCACTATCCTATTTATTCAGTTATGCTTAGTGGTTGATTATACTAATATTTGGATTGTAGACTCTGGAGCTACAAACCATGTTCGCAAATCTTTGCAAGGGTTCC